TTTTATGTCAAATCAAAATAAATAAATGGGTAGTGTATTGCTAGGGAATCACGTGCGTAGTAAAATTGGTGCGTGACACGATGCAAGTTTTATGTCAAATCAAAATAAATAAATGGGTACTATATTGATATGAAACCGTGTGCGTAGTGATGTTGGTGCGTGGCTCGATGCAAACGTTATGTCAAATCAAGATAAATAAATGGGTTGTGTGTTGTTATGGAACCGCATGCGTAGTAAAGTTGGTGCGTGACTCGATGCAAATTTTATGTCAAATCAAAATAAATAAATGGCGAGTGAGTCTTCAACTTTGTACTTTTATAACAATAATCCTTGCATTTATTTTGTTATCCTTGAAATATTTACAAACGAATCAAGTACATTCATTAATATACGTCATTTTTTCCTATTGCGAAATCAATATAACTATTACACTCATCTAAATTACTAGCTGTGCAACGCATGGGTACGGATCTAGTTAGTTTAGAATAGCAAACTTTTCCTAATAAAAAAGAATAGGAAATTCTTGGAATAAAAAATAACTCAAATCCTTGTTAGTTATTTGGCTTATCTAAATCATTATTTTGGATAATTAGTGATGGACAATAAATCCACCAAATGATCTGATTCAGAAGAGCGAATTGTAAGAAAAGAATTAAGAACAAGAGTTCGAGAATTGGGTATGTATTATTAGCTTGATTCAGCTTCCGTTTTCCCCTTTCGGGTCCCCTCTATTTATACATGGGTTCTAAACAGTTAATGTAATACATAATCAAGAGAGTCTATCCCGTCAATGGCGCGATCCACTTTTTCCCGCTCCCTCCCCGCCATTCAGCTCCGTCTTCTCCTCTGGATTGGCTCTGACAGCTGTCTTGGGTTGAGGTAGTCCGGGCCTTGCGTTGTGGGCCAGCCCATTGTCCAAGAATTTCCAGTGCGCCTGACCCAGAGTTTGTTAACTAATTCATTTGGGCCGCCCGCTGGATATCCGCCCATCAATTAGATACAGACTTAAAATATAAATCATATTGAATATACAAAATGTTATGTAAGAGTATTTTTGTTTGGTCGAAATATCATTATATTACTTAAGTATAATTTTTCTTTTAACTAAAATTAATAAAAACTATTGTTTCATTTGTCTTCTTTTTTTGTTACATGTATCAGTGACGTACAATTCAAAAAACAAATTGTTATATGACTGATAGGTTTTAAAAAATAAATAAAGAGTGTGAGTCAAAAAAATACAAATAGAATTTGGTATAAAATATAATGACATAAAAGAAATTTAAAAAAATTAAAAATTAAAAAGTAGAGTATACATTTTCTAAATAAAATATGAAATTTATAAAATAAAAGACACTTTTTTCAAACTTCTTCCAGTTTTTTCTAGCTCTTTTTTGTTTTTCTAACTATTTACAATTTCTTCTAACTTCTTTCAATTCTTTCTACTTCTAACCCGTTTTTTTTGGGACCAACTTCTATCTAAGAACTGTCGGTTCCAAAATTAGGCCGTGTCCAACCCTACACCTAACCTACCTATAATGCCCATGCCCAAATCATTCTTTATGTAACAAATCAAAAATGTCAAAAACAGACAGATCATGCCATTTAAACACGAAAGTTCCAAGTCAAAAATAGCACTTCATGCTGCGTCCCCTGTGAGTGTATTAGGTGGGAGGTTGAAGAAGATGGGTTTAGTCCTTTTTAATGGCGGAATTGCAGCTCCTGTATGAACTAAATATATAGCCCCTCCCCTCCTCCCTCCCTCTTCACGAGCCTGAATTGTTCCAGAATTTACAAAGGAATTCAGATACCCGACGTTCCCAAATACCCAAGAGGGGCATTTCGCCGGGTCCCAGAAACGTCACGTTTCATATCTCTCTCCCATTCAATCAATCCTCCACTCTCTCTCATCTGTCAATTTCTGAACCACCAAAAGCTACAGCTCTAGAGAGAGAGAGAGAGAGATCTGTTGGTCTGGAGAAGATGACTTCGTATTTGAGGAAGACAATCCAGAATGCGATTGGTTCCTCCGGCGAGAAGGAGAAGACGACGAAGAAGGAGAATCAGGAGCCTGCGGAGGAGGCATCCGACAGTGGGAGCAGCCATGGGAGTGACTGCAATGGAGTGGAAGAGGTAGAGCGCAGCAAAATTGGGATCATCCGAGCCCTTCTCCGGAAGGAAGACCCTTCCCTTCAGGTCTATCTCTTTTGCTCAATCATTCATGTTTGGTGTTCGTTGTGTTGTTCAAAGATCATATTCACTCCTCGTGATTTTGAAGTTATAAGCTGCTTGATTGGTCAATAAGACACTTGGGCTGAACCACATTAAAAGATTGAATCCAATCGATTACTTAGTTCAACTCAAAAGCTTATATGCTGATTATTTTTCTATTCAACTTCCGATGTGGGATGCACTCTAGCACTTCTGGATGACATGAATACATCATGTTACGAGTCCCGAATTAACTCTATTCCCCAAAGCACTTGTGTTGTGTCTGAATTGCTAAATGAAAAGCAAGGTGAATTTGCACTACCATTTTCATGTTTTCTGCTTAAATTGTGTGAGGAATTTTTAGGTTGAGAGTGAGAGGAAAATGGCACTAATAAGAAGGGATCAAGATTTCGAGTGGCTTTGATTATTAACGGTTATGAAATGATGGTTCAAAAGCCTAATTGGTGTTTATTATGAAGCGTAGGAGGAGGACGCAGATGACCCAACGATTCGTAGATTTTTACGAGCAAGGGATCTTGATGTTGAGAAGGCTTGTGCAATGCTTCTCAAGTACTTGACATGGAGGAGAGAGTTTGTGCCCAAAGGCTTCATATCTCTTTCTGAAATCCAAAATGACATTGCCCAAAACAAGCTGTTTATGCAAGGAAACGACAAGCTTGGCCGTCCTATTGTGGTTGTCTTTGGTGGCCGTCATAAGCAAACAACCGTGGATGAGTTCAAACGTACACAAAACCTCGTATCCTATACCACTATTATTATGTTGTTGTCTTCCAAACTCTCATATAGCCAATATACATTGCCTACTCCTTTGATTCACTTTTAGCTAATATATACTTTTAGCTAACTTTTATTATGTTAATGATGGCAGGATATGTTACTTTTACTCTTGACAAAATAACTTCCAGGTAGTAAACATCAAACCAATTCATCTTACATGACTTTCAAAGTTTTATGTACCAAATTTTGAAATAGGTTTCTTGATTTCTCGCAGAATGCCAGAGGGGCAGGAGAAGTTTGTGAGCATCGCGGACCTAGAAGGATGGGGATATGCCAACAGTGATGTACGCGGGTACTTAGCGGCTCTTTCAATTTTGCAGGTTCGTACTTCAATCACATTACTTAAAGCAAAGCGAACAAAGATATATGGAGTGAAGATAGTGTTGGTTGGTTTCTGAACATGCCGGGTTTTTTTTGGCAGGATTGCTACCCCGAGAGGCTGGGGAAGTTGTTCCTAGTTCATGTGCCTTACGTGTTTATGACTGCATGGAAGGTCATTTACCCCTTCATTGATAGCAGAACTAAGAAGAAAGTGAGTTTCATGCGCATTTGGCAATAATTTTAGCGCTTTAAAAAGATTATCTAATCGCAGCATTTACTTTTGTGCTTTCAAAGCTAATCTATACCATTAAAAATTATTCAAAATGTTAACGTTAATTGAAAACGTTGTTCCCAAACAAGGCCTTCTTCTAGTGCAGACGTCTCTGGGTAGCCAACAAGATGCATCCTATTTGGTTTTATGAGTTCACTACCCACGTCCGTAGTGAGCGTTTGTTCTTGTCCTTTTTGCAGATCATTTTCGTTGAAAACAAGAAACTGAAGTCCACCCTCATCCGAGATATCGATGAGAGTCAACTTCCAGAAATGTATGGAGGGAAACTACATTTAGTTCCCATTCAAGACTGCTGAAAGAGGAGATGCTAACCAAATCCATTGTGGGAGGTCACTCGAGGCACTCTTGATTTGTCGGTTTAACTAACACCTAATATTTGTCGATATCTTCTTATGTAATGATGACAACAAATTAGATAACCTAATATTCATGTGTCCACTCTTACGTTGTCCATTGTCTTGTTTGCCTATGACTCTTTAAAGTCACAAAAGTGTTATCTTTGCCAGTGCACAAAATGGATTTGGTGACACTTGCACTAAACACTTTACTGATGCGGTCTCCCACTTTCTCTGGATGTTATTTACTCTTTTATCATTTTAAATATATATCTGATTTTCAATCTTTTCAGTATAAATAAATCTTAACCAAATAATTTTGGAATTAAAAATACGGTTAGATTCCGTGGCCACTGGATTCTAGTGGCCACGGAAGCCACTGCCCTCCTACGGAGCTCCATTCATAAAATTGATGATTCCAACCTCCTTCCCCCAAACCCCCTGGTAAACCTCCTCGCAGAGTCCTGACCCTAACTCATTCTCCCACCTACGTCAATTGCACCCCGTAAGTATAATTGACTTTAAAGTCAAAAATTTTGACTTTAAAGTCAATTATACTTACGGGGTGCAATTGACATAGGTGGAGGGATGAGTTGGGGTCGAGACTCGGCAGGGAGGTTTTAATGGGGGGTTAGAGGGAGTAGGAATTATCAATTTTATGAACAAAGCTCCGTAGGGGGGCAATAGCTTCCGTGGCCACGAAACCGGGCCGTTAAAAATAAGTATGTTGATAGTTGCATAAGCTATGGCGACCTTGAAAATAGGGAGCACAAAGCTTTGCCAAAACGTGAATCTCTAAAATAAAGGGTGCATTTTGATCGACAATGTTTTTTTGACCTTGGAAAAAATAACTTTTGAATGACCCAGATATTTTGGGGGCATCTGCGATACTCCATTAGTAAAATTAATAATATTTACGCTCCTAATCTCCCTTATAAACCTTTCACCCTTACTCCTTTCAGCCCTCTCTTTCCTCTGGAAACTGAGGTGGAGGTAGGGCGTTTAGGAGGGGGTCAAGGGGTGTAAGAACTATCAATTTTACAAATGACAAACTATAAATGACGAGTCATTCTCGAGTCATTTTTCTAAGGTCAAAGAATTATGGTGTTATTTGATGCGAAGTATGTATTATTTTGATTGTACTCTTTCCACAACCAATGTCATATTATGACACCAAAATATGCCACCGGTCCAGGTGTCAAAAGAACATGACTCTTGTATTTTAGCCCAAATGAGAGGTGATACCCATTCCCAAAATGAGCTATTAAACAATCTACCCCATGATTCTACCCAAATGATATTTTGAAAAAATCTTTTGGAAATCAACCTACCCCTGCAATCCATGACAATGAGGACTTCATTCGAGTAATTCTCAGGATCGCTTGATACTAAAACAAGCCCTCTTTTTGAAAGAGGCATACCAAAGCCACCAAAAAAATGTTTCAATCAGATGTTTCAACCTCCCGCGGGAAGGAAATATAATAAGGAAAACCACAACAAATCATATNATTCACTGTTCTAGCAAATATTTCAAATTATTACAAACCTGAATCCAAAATCCGCTTGAGAATTAAGCAATTTGGGGGGGGGCAGCTGCATTATTCAAAACAGCATGCAATGTTCAAAATTAATGTATGAAATAAAATTGTCGCAAATCCAAAGTAGTGACCTTTTTCCAGGAAAGAAACGCGAGATTGAAGAGAAGTATTCGTCACGATCAAATAATCTAAGGCCCACTCAGCTTTCGTTGCCTTGTGGGCATACACACAGCCTTTTCAACCAATAAGCAACTTGTTCTCATCCAAGAAAGTGTAGGTAGGTACCTCGAGGTTGTATGGGGCAGGCCCTTTGCGAATCCTGCCAGAGACATCATAGTGAGAGCCGTGGCATGGGCAGAACCAACCACCAAAGTCTCCAGCATTGGGCAAGGGTATGCACCCCAAATGTGTACAGACTCCAATGACAACAAGCCATTCAGGATTCTTAACCCTCTCAATATCTTGCTGTGGGTCCCGGAGAGAGCCGACATCAACGGCATTTGCAGTCTTGATGTCGTGCTCAGTCCGGCGCCTGATGAAGACAGGCTTCCCACGCCACTTGACTGTAACAGTCGTCCCGGGTTCAATGCTTGACAGGTCAACCTCAATAGAAGCAAGGGCAAGGACGTCCTTACTGGCAGACATGCTCAGGACAAATTTGAGTACCAAGAGGCGGACGAGTGATGCATAAACAAACCTGCCACCTGTCAGGACAAAATAAGCAAACGCGCGCTTGCTGGGGTCGCCAGGTGGATAGCGCTCGTGATTGGAGTCGTCATAGACAATTTTAGAGCTCGGGTTCTTTATCGCAGCCAGCGTTGGTGGGAGATCTGAACCCTCTTTTGCAGGGGTCAGAGAAGCAGATGCATATCCTACAGCAGTTGAAAGATTCAAAAAACAGTCACTGAGTGCAAAAAATTGTTACAAACATCTGGATTTAATTAAGAAATGGTGCAAAAAATGATAGTGTGATTACTGGTAAGTATGAAATCGTTTGGTTATTTGGTTGGTGAAACCAGAGAAAATAAGATTTTGTTTATCTTACTCTTCGGACCAGTTTGGCATCAAACACTAACTTGTTTTACTAAGTTGTGCTAGCACATTTATTGATATTGGAAAAAATAAGAAATTACTTTTATGGTATGTTTGGAAACATGGATTTGGATTTCAAATCCGGATTTGGCTCAAATTCCATGTTTGGGAAACTTACAAATTTTGAATTTGGATTTGAATCAAATTCTTCTCATTCATAACAAAGCTTGATTTTAAATCCATGCACCTCTCCTTGTCATTTGAAATTCAAGATTTCAAATTTTGGAATTGAAATACATGAATTAAAATGAAATCCTAGTTGCCAAACACTACCTTAATGAATTTCTGAAATAACAAAAATTCAAAAATAAGTTACATTTTATCTTCATTCTTAGACTCTCTCTCCACTCCATATTATAAGGCCTAATCTTGATTACTACATTTGACTAAATTAAAATTTAATAAAAAAAATTAAAAGTAATATGTAATAAATGTTAGTAATTTAAAATTAAATATTGAAAAACTACACTAAAGTTTTATTCAGTTGCAGCAACTGAATTTGAACATCAGAAAAACTGCTACGAGTATAAAAAACAAGAGAACAAATGATGTTTGATTTGATAGTACAAAAGGTTGAACTGGAGAAATAAATGCACCAATGGGAGCATTATTTTGCTTAGCTTATTAAGAAATATATTTTGATTTTTTCCCGTATACAATTCAAAAAAATCGGTCAATTCAATCAGTTCATTGATGATTCCAGAAAATTTGGCAACTCTAGCCATTTTAGGCATTACCAAACAAGCACTTATGCCCACAAGCCCTACAATTCCAGCTAAAAATTGCAATGACCTCCTAGAGTGTGTTAATGGAACTGAAAAATGCAGAGATATACGGAATTGATAGTTTTTAAGGTTTGTTTTATTTCCCAAAGGTTGAGATGGTTTGGTCATGTGAGACGGCGGGATGCTGACGCCCCTGTACGGAGATGCGAGAGGATTACGATTATCGGGGGAAGTAGGGGAAGGGGTAGACCTAGGAAGAATTGGAAGGAGGTGATTAGGTAGGATTTAGGACTTCTCACCCTGACTGAGGATATGGCCTTAGATAGGAACCTTTGGAGAACTAGGATTAAAGTAGCTGGATAGGAGCTCGGTGCTGTAGCGGTTGTTTGTAGTGTGTTGTGTTTGTTTGGAATCTTCTGCTATTGCTTGTACTTGTTGCTTGTACTTGGTGCTTTACCCGTACTATACTGTGTTCCCTTCCATAATTTTGTGCAGGTTGAGCCGGGGGTCTCTTGGAAACAGCCTCCCTACTTCCGAGTAGGGGCAAGGTCTGCGTACACCCACCCTCCCCAGACCCTACTGTAGTGGGATGGATGTTGTTGTTGTTGTTGTTTTATTTCCCAAAGGTATCATTAAAGGTGTGTGTCCCAGGGAGGGAAATTGATAAGGTTCTCTTCCCAGCGTAATCAGCAAATAAACTAAACATAATCGAAGGCATAACAAAGTGAAAAACAACACATAAAAGTAAAAAAGAGTATTGGGTAAGCTACGAAACAAGTAAACATGTACTCCTTCAGTTCCAAACTACAGTCATGGTTGAAAAGTTATTTAGTTCCAAAAAATCATATTCAAACAAAAGAAGATAATTTTCATTATATTTAATGTGACTTTTTCCAAAAAAACATCAAACAGGCTGAGTGTGCTAAATTTGGTTAAAACAACAAAAACAAATTTAACTATATAGCTAGCTGTATTTAATGATAAACCATAACTATTCCTTGCTGGAATTAAAAAGTTGCACTTAAAACATGACCCGTTTATGAAAATGGAGTATATAACTAAAGCAACAAAACGTGCAAGTAAAGGGCAGACTAACTCCTACCTACTGAACCTTTAACTAAAAGGGCAAAAGGTCTCTCTCCCTCTCTCCAAGGGAATGATCACAAACCCTATATTTGTGACCTCTCCTCACATCTTCTCAACTACAGTGCTCTATGCCTTCCTAACAGATGACATCATATCTCTCCAGAAAATACAGCTAAACCACCACTACCTTATTTCCTGAGTAATAGGTGTGGCTCTTAACTCTGCTTAGAAGATCACATTCAATATTTTGCCCAACATGATGCAACATATTCACCACAACATTGTCATCCCCTCAGCTTCTTATGTATGCCCTTCCCAATGATTGTTGACCATCAAGACATGAAACCAAATTGGTTCGCAATCAAGTCAATTTCACGCTACTATGGCCATAATCACTCTCCCCCACAGTTTCACAGTATGCTTAGAAAGGTGTAGCTTGTTAACCTCCTCTTCTCTTCTTAACAAATGTTGCAGTTTATCCAGCTTGTTTGTTTTGTTTTTAACCAGTCTTATTTGCTCAGCACACCCTTTTCCACAGTAAGTACCTTTAGCAACATTTTCCAAGGTAAGCACTTCTTAACGAAGCTTACGACTTTTGTAATGTATACTCCCTCTGTCTCTTTGAATTCTTTACACTTGTCATTTTGTCATCCTATTAGATTCTGTACATTTCCTAATTAAGCATTACTAAGGTTATAAAAAGTCCATTTTACACTTGTGTACACCTTACCAATTATTTCTAATATTTCACTCACAATTTCACCCACGCAATTTTAAT